ATATATGTATATATATATATATATATATATATATATATATATATATATATATATATATATATATATATATATATATATATATATATATATATATATATATATATATATACACACATACATACATACATACATACATACACACACACACACACACACACACACACACACACACACACACACACACACACACACACATATATATATATATATATATATATATATATATATATATATATGTATATATATATCTTTAACAGCTTTGACAGTTTAGTAAAAAATAGTAGTTTATGTATAAACTTATAATTATAATAAGGTAAGATAATCAGTTTATAACTATATATATATATATATATATATATATATATATATATATATATATATTGTTTAAATGATTAACTAGTAGAATAATTTATTTTAAAGTGACATATTATTGTTTGCTTTTTATATTTTACAACAAAGTGATTTTAACCAAGTATGATAATATTAAGATCCTGAATTAGTTCATTACACTTAATCCAACAATTAGACCGTCTATAATGTTTTCTGTGTTTATGTGGACACATGAATAAAGTCAGAAGTGTATTTAACCAATTATTTGTATTTACATAATTTGAGTTCAGAAACTGCAGAGATGCTAAAATGATCGTTACGATATAATAATAATAATAATAATAATAATGACTGAAATGGGAAACCATATTTGTGAAATTCAATAGGTGGCGAAAATGCTAAAGATTTAGTTACCATATATGGTTTGCCTAAATCGTAGATTGTGTGTGCCTAAAACGTGTGTGGTTCTGCGGGCCTGCAGCTGGATATTATTGGCTGAACAGACTCCTGCTGCTCACCATTTCTGTTGTCAAAACTGACAGCTGGAGGGGCGTGGCCCTAATCTGAGAATTGAACTCAAAACAAACAGGAAGTGCATTTGCAGATTTCAGATTTCAACAAACTCATTTTTCTTAATGATATGCACAGGTGAATTGTTCAGCACGAAACTAGCATTGTGAGCTAGCAACATCAACATGATTAGCTTTGGTGTCATGTGTATTTTAAAGGTTGACGTCTTACTTTTGCAGGTTCTGCTGAAGTGTGAGAAAGTGGGTTTGTTGGCTCTGCAGGCGATGGCGTTGGTCTGACACATGGAGTAAAACTCGGCTCCGTCCAGTGTGCACGCGTGTGTGTCCTGCCGAGGACACTTATAGGGCATCTGACACACACACACTCCCGCTATACACCTCCTCCAGGGCGGACAGAACACTTTCGAGCAGGACAGACGGGTGTAGTTCTGCTGCTCACATTGGGGCGGACCCCAGAAAAAATCCTCTTTTGTGGATTTGGGTTCAGGTTTTGTTGGTCTGGGTTCAGGTTTTGTGGGTTTGGTTCCAGTTTCTTTGGGCTTTGCTTGTCCTTTTTCAGGTGTATTGGCCGGGTTTTGCTGTGAGTTTGTGTTTGGACTTTCTGTTGTACTCTTGATATCTGAATCAGTTGTTTCCTCCACGTCTGATCTTTGATCTGCATCTGATTCTGATTTTGGCTCTAAATTCGGATCTGATTTTGGTTTAGAAAGTCTGTTTGCACCTTTCTCCAAATTTACATCTGGTGTTTGTTCAACCGCAGCTTCTGGATTTGTTTCTGGAGGAATTTTAGGTTTGGTGACGTCTTGTTTCTGCTGAGTTGTGATGGGTTCTGCTTTCTCCAGACTCTAAAAACAGTTTCAAGAGTTCACACTTAGCTGATGATTAATTATAAAAGCTTGTTTGGCATGCTGTCCCGGGAGAGAGCCCTGAGCTCATGAGATCCTCGAGCCCAGGGCTCCCTCCCGTTGCAAGGCGGGAGGGGAGTTTGAGCTCAGGTAGATCTCGAGAACTCCTCTGCTGTAGCAAGTGAATGCTCTTGAAATTAATTACTAACTAGAAGCGTGTCTATGTTGACAATTTGGATTGTTCAATTGACATAATTGCATGTTCTTAGGCGGTGGGAGGAAACCGGGGAACCCGGGGGAAACCCACGTGAGCACGGGGAGAAGTGCAAACTCCACACAGAAATGTCTGCTAGTTTTGGTAAAGCCAGGAACCAGAGACATTCTTGTTGTGAGTGCTAGGCACTGGGCCACCGTGTCACCCGTCTAAGAAGGAGGAGTAGAGGAGGAAGGGGGGACTCTTCAAAACGAAGATAGCAATGGAATAAACCCCAGGGTATTTATAGTAGTTTAGGAGTCATCTGATTGGATCGTAGTGAATTAGATAATGCGGGTCAGCTGCTCGCAATCATAAGCACGTGATCCTCTCGAAATTTGTTTATACATAAACTTCACTTAAATAAATGTACAATTTAGAACTTATTCATGTAGTTCTGAGTTTACATCTCACAATTTTCATCTTGTTAATCAGAACTTTGAGTTTTCATCTCGCAATTGAATTTTTTGATTGTAATTCTGAGTTTACATCTTGCAGTTTTTACCTTGTCCTCGTTATTCTCAGTTTACACTTCGCGATTTTGA